CAGTTCATTTCCAGATTGATTTACATTACGTCTCCCTCCTTGTGTAATGGCAACAATTAAATCAAGTTGAGAATCAGTATATTCAAAATCAGAATCCAAGTGAAGATCACCCCCGTATCGACATGGAGCTTAAATTAGAAAATGCTAGTGAATAAATAAATATACAAAGTTAAGAAATTTAGAAAAAAAGAATGAAAAGTTATATATAGAAGACATTACCAGAAGGCAAATTCACATTAGTGCCACCAACATCCACTTGACCAACACCACCAACCCGACATGATGAACACATAAAAGCATTATCAGCATCACTACTTAAATAAAAATTAAAAATCTATCAAGAACCTATCATTTACATACTAACTACAGAATTAGTAACATCAACATCGTACCCTGTGGAGCAGTATTAGACTCAATAACAATATCTGCTCGTGTCTATACAGGGATTCCTGATGGCAACGGAGCAGGACCCGACTTTTTAACATCATGAGATGACTGCTTATATGTTGCTTGTTATGTAGTGGCAGTGATTTGATCAATTGCAGATGCAGACAGTTCAAAGTTAGAATCTAAGCCAAAATCATGCTCATTTACGAAGGGGGCTGAAAAAAGTTTTTTAAAAAAAGGTTAGTCAATGCACAAATACATAGAGTTAAATAAATAAAAAAAGAATAAAAAAATTACATATACAACATTTTACCAGAACGCAAATCATCATTAACTACACCATCACTTGCTGTGACGTTCTTCACATTGACACCAGCGGCACCTCCATCTTGACCAACCCCACCAAAACCAGATACTAAACATATAAAAGTATAATCAAGAGTACTATTTTCAAAAAATAACACCAAAAAAAATCAATCAAATATGTGATTTACATACTAGAAAGCGTTTTGGGCATGCTATCTCCAAAAACTACAGGATCATTCCCAACGTGGCCACTTTCAAACTGGTCATAATCATTATGCATCTCACGAAAGTCAGGATCATTATCCTGTTGCTTATGCTGAAAATGAGAAACTAACAATTTTAGTATTATGTATATTACAAGAATACTATGTGCACTAAAAGTAAAGAATGGAATAGTATCCTATAAGCATATATTGCATCTTTGAACAACATACTATAGCATTATATTATATAAAAGATCAATATCGCTGAATTTCCCTCTGGTTTCATTGGCTGCCTACCAATAGCTGCAAGCACCTCTTCAAACTTGGTCTCTACAAAAAGCTTCAAAGCTTGTAACTCCTTCATTACCTCAACATTGGTAGGTTGGGAATCACCTTCAGTACTTTCATGCATACTTTGTGTCTTTGGTAATTGAGTGCCAAAAACCTGAAAGCTATCGGGCTGACTGTCAGTGCACTCAACTTCAATTTCAAAGTTTAGACCACGCACATCAAATAGTTGTTTCTCATCATCAGTTGGGGTGATGTTCTTTAGCTGCAATTATTAAGAACACTAGTTAGAAATAGAAATGATAATAAAGTATGGAAAGATAAAAGATCCTTATTACCATATGATAACAATATAGTATACATGTATATCAACAGAGTATATCACTGAATTGGGATATAGTATACATGATACCAATATAGTATACATGTATACCAACAGAGTATATCACTGAACTGGGATATTGCTAGAACTGTGACTAAACTACTGTACCAAAACATTAAGAGAGGCAATAAAACTATGAGAAAATTACCTGCTCGCGTTGCAAGCTACACATTTGCAAAGCAACTCGCTCATTCGGTATTTGACCCATGACTACCCAATTCAAAATTCGTGGAAGTTTGTTTCCAAGATGATCAGCAAAGTGACCATCCAAACTTGGGCAGCATTCATACAACCAAGTCTGTAAAGCCAACGGGAAGCCACCGAGTCTATAAAAAGAAGGCTTATCTTGAAACTTGTTGGAACACGAGTCAATTGTAGCTTTATAAACATCTATACCCCAGGGATAATTATTAAAATCACCACACTCAACCAAGTCAATGTAAGACCGTGAAATAACCTTTGTTTTGAGTTGAGAAAGTAAGAAGTTGTTCACAAAATAAAGAACTGCTATCTTCAACGCATCATCATCTGTTTCCCATTTCTTCTTCTTAAAACAGTCTGCTAGTTGGGCAAATGTCACGGATGCAGTCCCAAAATATTTTGAAATCAACCTATTCTCTATTATGCTCTTTATACTTGTATCACCCTTACATTTCAACCCAGTACCAAGCCAAAGCGCAACCTAGAATCATTCACTACAAACCACATCTCATTTTTCACCTCATGATGTACTTCTCTAATAAGCAAATGGTGCATAACCCGAATCTGCACAATAACTGGTGGCAGATCCAAAAAATAGCCAAAGCATATTTTCTTAAACAGTCAAAGTTGCCTCTTTGATAAATTCTCTTTCAATTGATGAATTACATGGCAGTTGGTATTCCAATCAACCTTTGGTTTATAATCTAAGTCCATAGGCACAAGGAAATCCCAACAGTGCAAAACATGTTCATATAAAATAATTTCAGAAATAGAATTCACTTAAAATGCAATTAAACCAACTAAAAATATTACAACTACCATACGATACCAACACGACATATAACTATACCAGCAGGGTATACAATTCTACTGACTAATTTCCGGCAACTACAAATTTTACTTATAAGGAAACAAAAGGAAAATAGTGTGGGAACAATTTGCAGCAATACTAAGTGACCATCAATGCATAAACTTACTTTAAGTTGTTTCATTTGAAGATGCATATTCAATATTACTAGGGAGGGAAAGCCAAAAGAAACTTAGCTATTAAATCTACAGTATCTGGAAACTATTCTATCAAATACATATTTTAGAGGATAGTAGCAAAATACTTTTCATCTTGCATATTCTTGAGATTACTAAGGAAGTAAAAGAATAGCATAAACTCACATCAAATTGCACTACAAGATAGCTAATATTCGACAAGGAACTTATGCTACAGTACCAGCGCTTCTCGCCCATTGACCCCATCCACACAATGCCACCTATAAAGAAAAGCTCATTCTGCACTCCTAACTTACACGGTCCCATTCCTTCCATGCTTCTCTCCACCACTGTCAACTGGCTAAATACTAAATCATGTACAAAACCATCTAATGCAAAGCTGAAAATCAGAAATCACACAGAGCAGCTCTGGCTTCAATAAATATGGTTGACTACAACAGCTACTGAATTAGTGACCCTTTTTAAACCTCAAGCAGAACATTAATTTAATCTGTCTATATTGATTCAAAAACATTGAGAAACTAATAGCAAAGACAAATATGCCATCCAAAATTAACAAGCTCATTATTGCAAATTAACTGGTCTGTACAATATACTAGAAAAGATCACTCAATTCCTTCATGCTCAAACACAATGTATACAAAATGATATTTTTTACTTCTTCTAAGCAGAATGATAGGCCTAAATTTTGCTAATATCACAGAAACATACACATAGAACAGCTCAAATGAACTTCACCCAAAAACTCAAAATTCGCTGGTACTTGATTTTCTCTTAGTTAATCATCTAGTGATGGATTTTGACAGCTATAAACACTATTACGTCGCACTGAACATTGATGAAACGGATAGCTGGAATAAATAGATAAATGGAAATCGTAATAAATTTACAACAGTTCTCTTAAATGTATAGAATGAACTTGAAGAAATAGAATTCACTTAAAATTAACACAACTGACTATAACTATAATATAATACAAAAGCATAACATGAAATCAAAAAATAACAATGTACTGTACATTCAAAATCTCAAAGATCATAATTGTAAGAAAATTACCTTCTTGGGCGAGATACCAATTTTTTCTTCTTTAACTGAGAATCATCGCTGCAATCAACATCTACTGGTTGAGTCTCTGTTTTAGGCACGGATTCACGTCGGCTTCCCCCTAACTCAGAATCCTCAACAACTTTACCTTTTCCCTTATCAGTCACAGGAACACCTGCTATGACTGGTTCGGAATTTGTGTGGGGTAATGACAGGTAGGGAGTTTCATCGACTGACGAAGCATTAATATTGTTGCCCTTTCCACCCTCTAATTCTACATTTTCAGTTGTGTTTTCAACATGACTACTGCTAGGGTTACGACTAAATAGAGACTAAGAATCAGAAAATAAGGAAAAACTATGAACAGACATGGCTGAGGCAACGGATTCAGCAGCTACTTGTGTTGAAGAATGATATTGTCCACGGCGCCACCATCTACGCGCACAATGCTTCCGACCCATAGAGAAAACAACAACCCATAGACATTGATTCACAAAAGTACAAAGGAAAACACAAAAATCCTATGATTTTGAAAACTCACTTTCACTAAAATGTACTTTCAGAAGCAAAAATTTCACCCAAAGTAAAAATGTCACCCAAAAATAGGTACTAGACGAAGAGATAGAACGGAATCAGAAGAAAAAATTAAAAACTCGAATGTGGGTGAATTTTGCGTTCTCATCGGTTGGCTATGGAGATTTGGAAACTGTACTCTAGTCTACTTGTTAACTGTTAAAGAACGAAGAAAAGCGTGGGAAGCTTGTGCCGGGTGAAATAGGTGGGCTGGATCGAAGATAAGGAGAGATGGGTAGATTGGGCCGCGTGAAATATGAGGGTCGGGTAAATAAATTGAGCCGATTGGGTAGGCAGGGTAAATAGTTTGGGCATGGATATTAAAAGGTAAATAGTTTGGGTTTAATAGGTATAAAGCGAGATTTTCTCAAGAATATTGTGCTTGGTGGGCTGGGCCATAGGCCCACTCATCATTTTTATTTTCCCAGTATTATTGAATTATTTATTGCAGGAAAAAATTATATATTCCTTCGTACAGTTCGAGACCATTCTAGAACTTTTTTCACACAAAGGAATAGACACTACACTCTCACTTTCGTCTTTAGCGGAGAAAGTAGGGTTTGCTGGTCATGATCTCTCTCCAATATTTCACCTTATACTTGGTGGTAAGTTTTCTGTAGAAATTGGTATAAACTGACTTTAAAAGTTTCTAAGATTACGCTTATTCTAGCTTCTCAGGTTCAGAATTTTGGGATATTATAAAGTAAAAGTTAAGTTGGCTCAGCAGAATTAAAAATTGGCCGCCATTCACGTGATAGTAAGGCCCGATCGAATTAGACTTCTGGTGCTTGTGCTGTGGGATAATCATCCTATTATATATGGCAATACACTCTCAGATTCTTCTTGTTTTAAGTTACGGCTATTTATATACGATGTGTGCGTTTGACTGCAAGCTCTTTGATTTATCCATTAAAGAGGAGAATCTTGATTAGTATATGAGTTTGTGTACATGCAATGGGTGAGATTGTTTGATAATGAAGCAAGTGCAAATATTTTAGTGTGTTAGCCCACACCTATCCAAATTCAATCTGTAAAGAATTCCAAACCTCCTAATTTGAATTCCAGTTATAGATTATATAGTTATTGCGATTGTAATTATCCACATGCTCTAATTTTTCTACATTAAAGGATTGAAAAGGGACTCAAAGAAAGTCAAGGAAGTCCCATAATTACATAGGCTACCTTGTTCCTTATGTTTTAGATTTCTTTCTTCACTGTGTTTGTACTTTAATATAACATATAAGATTTGCCTGAGCATTTTGGAATAAAACTTGCAGCAGTTATCAGCCAAACAAAATGACTACTTCTGAAGAAACTAAATTGAGCATGAAGCTTTTGATTGACACCACGGCTCGCAAAGTCCTATTTGCTGAAGCTGAAAAGGATTGTGTTGATTTCCTTTTTCATATTCTCTCATTGCCAGTGGGAACTGTCACTAAGCTTCTTAAGGAGAAAGAAATGAAATGTGGATGCTTGCCTAACCTCTATGCAAGCGTAGAAAATCTTAATGACAAATACATTCAATCGAACCAATGCAAGGATATCCTTTTAGAACCCAAATCTTCAGCTGGAAATATCACTTCAGTTCCTTTTCTATTGCTTAATGATGTTCTGACGTCACAGAAAACTTTCTATTGTTGTTCAAACAGTAGTGCCCACTTTACTGTTTCTGATGACCCTAGTGCTCTATGTCCAACTTGTCGATGTGCTATGTCAAGAAATTTGACGTATGTTGCTCCACCGGATTCGAACGAAGCTAAGGCAGCTGCTACAGGGGGGTTTGTGAAGGATGTTATGACATATATGGTGACAGATGACTTGGTGGTTAAGCCAATGTCCACCATTTCTAGCATTGCCCTCCTTAACAAGTTTAGTGTCAGGGATATTGCTGTGCTGCAGGAGGAAGTAGTAAGTTTTGGAATGGAAGAGGTAATCAATTATACTTGATAACTAAAGAAATTTTATACTATCACTGTGTTTTAATCTATTGTAGCATGTTTGTAGGTTTTCAATCATACTTTTTTTTTACCAGTTACATGTAGTTGTTTTTTAGGTGAACTAATAGTATTGAAATATGGTTCCACTATTCTTGTGTTTGAAATAAACTCAACAAATTTTTGCTTGTTTGATGTGCCTTTTTGTATTTCTTTTTTTCTTTGGATTAGTATTCCTACTTAGTAAACTCCTACTATCATTTTGCAGGCACTGGAGTTGCTGAAAGCATCTTTCGAGTCAAAAACAGTTCTAACAAGTGTTTTCATGAGCCGNATATATATAGTAGTGGTTTTCTTTTGTTTCTTTCCCGCTTGAGTTGATTCTGATTTGTAGGTTTATCTATTATTAAATCGTACTTATGTATAGCTTGGAGCTTCTTTTTGTTATGTATCCTCTGTTTTCATCTTGTGTTGCAGAGTGGTATCTCTTTATAAATGGCGCACTAATAATTTGAAGAGATGCCTTAAACCGCCCATAGAAGCAATGTCATTTTTAAGTACACTTATAGCTTGTTTGGCCAAGCTTATTTTTGGCCAAAAGTGTTTTTTTCGGGCTAAAAGCACTTTTGGCCTCAATTTGAGGTGTTTGGCCAAGCTTCTGGAAGGAAAAAAGTGTTTTTGAGGAGAAACAGAAGCAGTTTTGGAGAAGCAGAAAAAAGTAGCTTCTCTCCGAAAACACTTTTTTGAGAAGCACTTTTGAGAAAAATACACTTAGAAGTAGTTTTTTAAAGCTTGGACAAACACTAATTGCTGCTCAGAAGTGTTTTTCAAACTAATTAGCCAAACACAAACTGCTTCTCACCAAAAGTACTTTTGAGAAAAGCACTTTTGAAAAAAAACACTTCTCAAAATAAGCTGATTTTTGCAGCTTGGCCAAACGGGCTATTAACCTCATCACTTTCTACTTTGTGGTGATGCTGTAAATTGTGTGGATTCAGCAGTATCTTCAAGTAGGTACAGAGTTCCCTTGCGCTTCCACAAAACTACCCTCTTGCACGAGTGGCAAACGGGCGAGTTGGGTCGGATATGGCTCGGGTCGAAAACGAGTAATGAAAAAACAGATAAATTATCCAACTCGATTCATATTTAATACTGATAAAAAATGGGTTAACTGACGGTACCATATTATCCATAACTTCTTGAATATGATTACTTTTGGGAGAATTCCTAGTCTCCCAAACTTGAGAAATCTTAATTTAAGGTTGTACAAATGTAAAAGTTAAACATATTAGTTATCCATTGGTTATCCATTGATTATCCGTTTAGAAAATGGATAATATAATTCTTATCCATATTTTATTTTTAAAATTTTCATTATCCAACTATTTTTAAGTGGATAATATGAATGATTAATTGTTTTCTTTTAACTATTTTACCTCTTGTATGCTGATTTATTTGACTACGTAAGGCACAATTCTATCACGCGAAAGTCAAATCAACATTGAAACAATGTAGTCGCTATGGATAGCCATTGACAGTTTGTTAGAGTAGCTTGAACACCGTTGTTCTGTCGCCTAAGTTGCTTGGATTTCGTGCCGGTTAATCCATTATGCAACTCTTAATATGACAAAAGTTAATCAGTTGGCTCGGCAGAACTACAAATATACGCGATATGTTGTGCCCGGATACATTCGTATGGTGCGGCTTTGACTAAAATATAATACTCCTTTCGTTTCATATTAGACGAGATGTTTTCCTTTTTAGTTTGTTTCAAAACAAATGACATATTTATAAATTTGGAACTCTTTATTTTACCCATTTACCTTTAACGAGAAGCTTTTATAGTCATACAAATGTCATGACCCCACAAACCTTTTACCTTTTAAGCTTTTAAGACCACAAGTTTTAAAAGTATTCTTCTTTTTTCTTAAACTTCGTGTCGAATCAAACTACCTTAACTAATATGAAACGGAGGGAGTGACATATTATATGTAAACTTTACATATATTTTACATCTATTGCCTATTTTTGGTTTAACTAATGGGGGTGGGTGACTATTTAGGTTAATCCTTCCAATATCTTTTAGGAACTCATATATCCATCCCCACATAATCGTATTTTCCGTACTTACATATCTTATTGAGAGGTTGAACTTCACTTATTCCAAGCACTTATACATTACAGCTCCTACTGCTCATGCAACCTGTAGCTAAGACCCAATTCCAGCCCAATCTCACGGAAATAGTTGAGAGAACTTCATTTATAGTCCATCGGGCAAAACAAATAGCATCCGGTAGCCCAAAATTTCAATATGCATTTTATAGTCCAAAAATAATTCTAGTGGCTAGCCACCAAACTATATATCTGCACCACATGCCCNGTAGCCCAAAATTTCAATATGCATTTTATAGCCCAAAAATAATTCTAGTGGTTAGCCATCGAACTATATATCTGCACCACATGCCCTCAAAGCTCTTCATCAATGGCCCTAGGTTTGTCCCTAGCCTACAACTCCAATGGGAAACCCTTTTCTCCAACAAATTCCAGCACCAGTTTGTCAACTTACAGGAAGCAGCAATCAAATCTTTTCTTTCCTTTGACAAAAGTAGCTTCCTTTTCACAACTCCAATTCTTACTTTCTCAATTTTCAATTAATCATAATGTAGATTTTCCTCTCTTTTCTTGTAGAAATATAGGCGGCAGAGTCGGGCCCTATTTATCGTTAGTGGTNTTGTAGAAATATAGGCGGCAGAGTCGGGCCCTATTTATCGTTGGTGGGTTAGATTCCGGCAAAAGTAATATTCAAGGTATCACATAACCTCCAGCATAACAAGTTCATAGTAACAACAATACACAAACAAACACAGGTTCACTGGAGAAATAATTTCCGGCCCGAAATGGTTTAGCCGGAAAACTTCACGGTCGTTGGAAAAGCTATATACCGGCCAGATCTGCCGAAATTCAAATTAGCAAGCAAACCATCTTTCAGATCTAGATTTTTATAATATCAAAATCCCCAAAACAGTAACTAAAACGAGAAGAAAGAGTCGCCAGATTTTAATGGAGGGTCGCCGGTGTTTGAGTTTCCGTCCAGATCTAAAGCCAACGAGATCGAGCACAATGGGTTAGACTGACTGGGTTTTGATTTCAATTTCACGATAAAGTTCGGTTCTTCCCTCCAAGATAAAGCGTCCCTTTTATGTTTTTACAAAGGTGCAAGTCGTTGGGTTTCTACTTGGGTTCAAGCTGATGGATTTCCTTCTCTCCTTCTTCCTATTTATTTACCTTTTTATGTTTTTGAATCCACTAATAGAAAATCGTTCTCAATTGTGTTATTTTGTCCAATGTAGAGATAGACCATGTATTACATTTTTAGACTGTATTAGACTGGAGAGCAAATTTTTTTTTTTTTTTGAATATTGGAAAGAAAATCTGTCACTATACAAAATACATACAAAATTTGTCACAATACAAAATTCAAACAAAATCTGTCACTATACAAAATACAAAAAATATACAAAATAGACTGTCACTATACAAAAAATATACAAAATAGATTGTCACTATACAAAAAATATACAAATAGACTGTCACTATACAAAAAATATACAAATAGACTGTCACTATACAAAAAATATATAAATAGACTATCACTATACAAAAAATATATAAAATAAACTGTCACTATACAAAAAATATACAAATAGACTGTCACTATACAAAAAAATATACTATAAAATAAACTGTCACTATACAAAAAATATACAAAATAAATGTAACTATACAAAATAGATGAAACTATACAAAAAAGACGGCCACTATACAAAAATACATGATACACTCCAAATACAATTATATACACTATGTTTACATATTAGAAAATACACATTATATACAATTTTGATACATTGTTCAGACAGATTATACATTGTTCGTACTAGGATAGAATATTTATACATTGCAAAATAAATATTTATATATTGTGCCAGGCAGGGGTTGAACCTACAACCTTCAGCTTAGAAAACAGGCGCTCTATCCACTAAGCTACAGGTGCTTATGTTGTCATACTCATTCCTTTCGGCTACTATATGCAATACTTTTGGGCTGAAGGGCCATTTTTTGTAAGTAGAATAAAACGTGGGCTATTAAAATTTTCAGGGGCTATAGAGGGTAGTTTTCCCGAAATAGTTTCATATAGAGTACTGGACTTATGGTTTCGTATCCTCCCCGCCCAAGGTTGTATACTCATTTAAAGCCCAATAAGAGAATGGACGAAGGAAACTTGTCACTATAAGCACAACTTGTTTCTCATGAAAAATATTGTAATCGTGGAAAGTGGATTTCATCAAGTATGGACTCATCACTCATAGGTAGTAAGGGAGGAGAGACGGAAATATGAGAAGTTTCTACTGGGAGCCTTTGTGATAAGGCAGTTTATCCACTTTGGCAACAAATGTAGCTCAAGTGCAAATTGAATTCTAGATGTGGGAAAAAAAACTGTTGGAATAGTGATTAGTGAGCCCAAGATTGGACAGATACCATCCCATCTTTTCCATAGGCTGTTTAAATATGGCCATGGCAAAAGTGAATGGTGTGCAGGACCACGATTTAAAACATGCTTTTGTTCATTTGTTTGCACCTCTGCATTCCTCATTGTATTGCTAAATAAGGTGAGCTTTAATTTCATTGCCAAAAACGAGCAAAATAATTAGGAAAATATTTAATGAAACAAACGTCTTATTAATTGAGTAGGTAGGTTAGTTAGTCGGATATTGATGCATAAAAGGAAAAAGAAATTATTTTTAATCGAAATATATGTCTAGAATAAATATTCTTAGAAGTTGAAACTAAAATATTCAAGTTAGACCTAGTACAATAAATTTTCATGCAAGAAGTCTGAAATTAATTTTTTCTTTTTGGTAATTTCAACTTCTTTATTGAAGATTGTAATTATTCACATGTATGATGGGAATTGGGAGTACTTCCCATGCACTTCCTATATATATAGCGACATTTGATTTGATTTTGAAAATATTATATCTACATAAATTAAGTATGGGGTCAACTATTTTTTTTTTAATAAATAAAATGGGAGGACAGAACAGCGCCTCAAGATACACTAAACTATTCCTTGGTGCATGATGCATCTGAATACAACGTGGGGCATTTGCATCTATACCCGTTTTTTGTGTCATATTTTAATTTGTGCTCGCTTTATAAAAAAAAATTGCTAGTGTACCCGCTTTTTCACATAACTTCAGCAAACGGGGTTGAAGTAGCAAAGACAATCACGCAAAACTTCAGCATTCTAGTAGTCGGGCCTGAAGTTTAGCTCTAGAACTGAAGTTTCTGTGTTGTGACTGGGAAACTTCAGCTCTTATATGAAGCCGTTGGATTTGCTCCTCTCCATTGATCCAATTGATGAAGCCTTCAACAGCTATTCAATCATTTCTTTCAATTGCTGTATTGACAATGCAATTAACTATTTGTAAATC